TTCATTTGCCATCTTGTTGCTCAATCACTTAGTTTTGTGAGATCTTTTTGAAGTTCTTCACAGTCTGCTTTGGTCTTAACTATCTTGAGCAGTTTAGTATCATCTGCAAACTTTGCCACCTCGCTGTTTACGCCTTTCTCCAGATCATTTATGAATAGGTTGAATAGGATTGGTCTTAGGACTGACCCTTGGGGAACACACTAGTTACCCCTCTCCATTCTGAAAATTTACCATTTATTCCTACCCTTTGTTCCCCATCTTTTAACCAGTTCTCAATCCATGAAAGGATCTTCCTTCTTATCCCATGACAACTTAATTTACCTAAGAGCCTTTGGTGAGGGACCTTGTCAAAGGCTTTCTGGAAATCTAAGTACACTATGTCCACTCAATCCCCCTTGTCCACATGTTTGTTGACCCCCTCAAAGAACTCTAATAGATTAGTAAGACATGATCTCCCTTTACAAAACAATTTATGTTCTTCTATGTGTCTGATAATTTTATTCTTTACTATTGTTTCAACTAATTTGCCCAGTACTGACATTAGACTTACCGGTCTGTAATTGCCGGGATCACCTCTAGAGCCCTTCTTAAATATTGGCGTTACATTAGCTATTTTCCAGTCATTGGGTACAGTAGCTAATTTAAAGGACAGGTTACAAACCATAGTTAATAGTTCCGGAATTTCACATTTGAGTTCTTTCAGAACTCTTGGGTGAATGCCATCTGATCCCAGTGACTTGTTACTGTTAAGTTTCTCAATTAATTCCAAAACCTCCTCTAGTGACACTTCAATCTGTGACAATTCCTCAGATTTGTCACCTATAAAAGACGGCTCAGGTTTGGGAGTCTCCGTAAAATCCTCAGCCATGAAGACAGAAGCAAAGAATTCATTTAGTTTCTCCATGATGACTTTATCGTCTTTAAGTGCTCCTTTTGTATCTCGATCGTCCAGGGGCCACACTGGTTGTTTAGCAGGCTTCCTGCTTCTGATGTACTTAAAAAACATTTTGTTATTACCTTTTGAGTTTTTGGCTAGCTGTTCTTCAAACTCCTTTTTTGCTTTTCTTATTACATTTTTTACATTTAATTTGGCAGCGTTTACGCTCCTTTATATTTACCTCACTAGGATCTGACTTCCACTTTTTAAAAGATGCCTTTTTCTCTCTCACTGCTTCTTTTACATGGTTGTTAAGCCACGCTGGCTCTCTTTTATTTCTTTTACTGTGTTTTTTAATTTGGGGTATACATTTAAGTTGAGCCTCTATGATGGTGTCTTTGAAAAGTGTCCATGCAGCTTGCAGGGATTTCACTCTAGTCACGGTACCTTTTAATTTCTGTGTAACTAACCTCCTCATTTTTGCATAGTTCCCCTTTCTGAAATTAAATGCCATTTTCTGATGTGTCAGATTCTTTATATGAATGTTTCTCATCTGATCTGGCCTATACTTTATCCTCTTTCATCCCCTCCTCCGGACTAAAACCTAGAGTCTCTCTATCAATAGACTCTCCTCTAAGAGAAGTCTCTGTCCGATCCACGTGCGCCTCTGCAGCAGTCGGCTTTCCCCATCTCTTAGTTTAAAAACTGCTCTGCAACCTTTTTAATGTGAAGTGCTAGCAGCAGTCTGGATCCACTTTGGTTTAGGTGGAGCCCATCCTTCCTGTATAGGCTCCCCTATCCCAAAAGTTTCTCTAGTTCCTAATAAATCTAAACCCCTCCTCTCTACACCATCGTCTCATCCACGCATTGAGATTCCGAAGCTCTGCCTGCCCACCTGGCCCTGCGCCTGGAACTGGAAGCATTTCTGAGAATGCCACCATAGAGGTCCTGGATTTCAGGTCTCTTTCCTAGCAGCCTAAATTTGGCCTCCAGGACGTCTCTACTACCCTTCCCTATGTCATTGGTACCTACATGTACCACGACCACTGGCTCCTCCCCAGCACTACACGTAAGTCTATCTAGATGCCTCAAGAGATCCGCAACCTTTGCACCAGGAAGGCAAGTCACCATACATTTCTCCCGGTCATCACAAACCCAGCTATCTGTGTTTCTAATGCTCGAACCTCCCATTACTAACACCTGCCCTTTCCTAATGACTGGAGTTTCCTGCCCCGTAGAGGTAACCTCAGTGCGAGAGGATACCCCAACATCATCTGGAAGGAGAGTCCCAACTATGGGAAGGTTTCCCTCTGTTCACATTGACTGCTCTCCTTCCCTGGGCCTTTCATCCTCCTTAACAGCGCAGGGGTTGTCTGACCAGAGGTGGGACAAATCTACAGTGTCCCGGAAATACCCCTCTGCCTCCCTTAGCTCCTCCAGTTCTGCCACCCTGGCCTCCAAAGCCCGTATGCGGTCTCTGAGGGCCAGGAGCTCCTTGCACCGAATGCACACATATGCCACCCACCCACAGGACAGGTAATCATACATGCTACACTGAGTGCAATAAACAGGATAGCTCCCACTCTGCTGCTGGGCTTCTGCCTGCATTTTCTCCTACAGCTACCTAGGTTAATGATAGGGTTTTTGTTTAAATCAAGAAGTTTTTATTATAGTTTAGCGTAAAGGTTTTAAGAATGGCAAGTGTACCTCGCCTCCTTCCCACTCCCCTCCCAAACTCCCTCTTGAAACTCTGTTAGCGGCCTCTGTTCTCAAAAAGCCAAGGCCAAAGGGTGCTGAACTTAGGTGGCTCTGTCCACACTAGAGGGACAATAACTGTCAAATACCAGCTGAGCTGTGGTCAGGGAGAGGAGGAACTGGATTTGACACCTACCCCCTAAGTTCCCTGCCACTAGTTGTTTTCACTGACAGATGCTGAGAAAGCAACCTCCTTAGTCCTTCTTGTGATGGTGCTGAGAAATTCAGCTCCAGCAGAATCCAGGCATCCCAAGAGAGACAGAAAGCTGCATTTCAGGGTAAACTGGGTCTGGCACACATGAAAGGTGGACTTTCTCTCCCTTCACCAGCACGGAAATGCAAGTTCCAAGAAGCGGAGGCAAGACAACCCCTCAAAAAACACAGCAGCCCCAAGGACATCTGCTTTGCATGAGCAGCAGCATTCCAGCTCATCCTGCAAAGGGATAAGAACAGTCTGCAGAGCAGAGACCTATGGCTTACAGTCCCTGTACGCAACAAATACCTGTAGGGCAGAAACCTCCAGCATACTGAGGGACTGATTCTCCACTGCCCAGCACTCTGTGCCATCATCTACACCCGCCCAAAGTGGGTACAAAGCTCTTCCATTCTGATTTAGCACTGTTTTAACACCCACTTTGGTGCTCGCTTTTCATGGATATAAATAATTGTATAAAGTGCAGTGCAGCGGAGAATCAGGCCCAGTCAGTTTCACAGGGGGAGATTTTCAACAGCACAAAGGGCGGCAAGCAACAGATTTTTAAAGATACTGAAGCATCTAAAGATGCAGATCGACTGGGAGTTAGGCACTGAGGAACTTCTGAAAATCCCACTAGATGCCTAAATAATTTTAAAAATCTAGTCCTAGCTGCCTCCTATTTGTACCTTTGAAAATCTTCTCCACTATCTCCATGTTAGTCTCTTTTAGTTTGTTAGAGGGAAATTGCTCACCTGCTAGCTACCAGGGTGCTTGCTGCGACCCTGTAAATCCATCGGTGTGTATTAAAGGTCTGATTTAGGCAAACAGACGTATTAGAATTTGCTGCTGTCAAATCAACAGAGAGGGGGCTGCTTTGCCTACCAAGTCTCATTCTGATCTCATTTATTCCTGTGTAAATCAGGAGTCCACTAAAGCCAATGGCGTCACTTTGCTGTTGGTGAAATCAGAATCAGATCTACACTCATAAGCAATGCTGCCCCCTGAGGTTTTCTGCCGTACTATAAGGTGGTGTCACCTAGATTCAATTCCAAAACATTGTCACCAAATACACTTAGGCCTTGTTTGTTAAAGCCCTAACTTAACCTTGCAGAACCAGGCTTTAATTCCTTGCTGCCCTGCACACTTTAGAGTAATTTACTCCTATTAAAGCAAATTGGATGCAAAAATCAGACATCTTCCCTCAGGCACCCTCCTGCGAGAATGCTGCACCCACTTTGCATACCATAAATGATTTCAGAAAGAACCAAGCGCCAGGCCCAGGGAGAATCAATGAATTAATGAAGCTTTGATGCCCCTAGTGGACACATGGCTCCATTGCGCTGCAGAGCTGCTTACCTCATAAGCCAGGGATGGGCAAACATTTTGGCCTGAGGGCCACATCTGGGTGGGGAAATTGCATGCAGGGCCATGAATGTAGGCCTGGGGCAGGGGGCTGGGATGCGGGAGGGAGTGCAGGGTGTGGGTGCGATGTGCAGGAAGGGGCTCAGGGCTAGGGGTTGGGGCGCAGGAGTGGGTACAGAGTGTGGGAGGGGGCTTAGGGCAGCGAGTTGGGCTGCAGGCTCTGGCCTGGCTCCACTTACCTTGAGCGGCTCCGACGTGGCAGTGGCGTGCAGCGGGGCTAGGGGAGGTTCCCTGCCTGCCCTGGCCCCGCACCACTCCCAGAAGCAGCCGGCACCACATCCCTGACGGCCCTTGGGGGAGGAGGGGCAGAGGGCTCCGAGGGCTGCCCTCTCCTGCAGGTACCTCCCCCGAAGCTCCCACTGGCCGCAGTTCCCTGTTCCCGGCCAATGGGAGCTGTGGGGGACAGTGCCTGCAGGTGTGGGCAGCGCGTGGAGCCCTGCCCCCCTTTCCCCCCCAGGGCCACAGGGACGTGGTGCCAGCCATTTCTGGGAGCAGCATGGGGCCAGGGCAGGCAGGGAGCTCACCTTAGCTCTGCGGTGCCACGGGGGTGGCAATCCTGCAGGCCAGAACCAAAGCCCTGATGGGCCGGATCTGGCCTGGGGGGCTGTAGGTTTGCCCACCCCTGTTGTAAGCTCTACACATTTCTGATATGAACAGTGATAGCTGTTACAGGATTCTTCCACACTTGTCAACATGCATAATGCACAATCAATGCCTCAGAGACAGGAGCAACTGATTGCACCATGTAGAAACACTCAATCTGGCTTTTTAATAGAGAAAACAACGCTGTACATAAAAAACGTCCCAGCTTGACACGGTGCCAAACGGCAAGTCCCAGGCTGCAGAGCACTTTGTGGGGTTTAGGTAGCAGCTTTCCCTGTCATGGGAGCATCACCGCTGCATGTCATCCCTGAGTTTTATTTTTAGATATGAATCATGTCCTGACTCCCTTCAGAATGGCTTTGCCACTTCTTTCCAGGTGCTACAGTAACTTGCTCACTACCCAACTTTTGTCTGGATGTCAGAAGCCCAAGACATTCACACGTTGGAACATGACAATATGACAAAACGTACTGCTCATCCTTTGCGCATCACTGGGATCCTCCTGGCTTTGGCCTTCGCATTCCTTACGGACTTTCAGTCAGTACCTCCACCTTTCATTCTGCACAATCTGTGCTTAAGTTCTGAGGCATGATCCACTGAACTATTGTGATGCCACCCTGTGGGCATCTGTGGCATTGCAGAAGCTGTCACATGGACTCACTTTTAAGCTGCAGGGGACGGTGCCTGCAGGTGAGGGCAGCACATGGAGTCCTCTGCCTCCCTTCCCCCCCAGGACTGCAGGGACGTGGTGCCAGCCGCTTCCAGGAGTGGCACGGGGCCAGGGCAGGCAGGGAGTCTGCCTTAGCTCCGCAGCGCCACGGGGGTGGCAATCCTGCAGGCTGGAACCAAAGCCCTGACGGGCTGGATCCGGAAATAACAGAACACCACTAGTTGTCACCTTCAGCCCGCAATTAAAACCTCTCCAGAGCATCAAAGATTTACAACCTATCCTGAAAAATGATCCCTCACTCTCACAGATCTTGGGAGACAGACCAGTCCTCGCTTACAGACAGCCCCACAACCTGAAGCAAATACTCTCCAGCAACCACACACCAAAAACACTAACCCAGGAACCTATCCTTGCAACAAAGCCAGAAACCTACTCTGTCCACATATTTATTCAAGTGACACCATCATAGGACCTAATCACATTAGTCACGCCATCAGGGGCTCGTTCACCTGCATATCGACCAATGTGATATATGCCATCATGTGCCAGCAATGCCCCTCTGCCATGTACATTGGCCAAACCGGACAGTCTCTACGCAACAGAATAAATAGACACAAATCTGACATCAGGAATCAGAACATTCAAAAACCGGTAGGAGAATACTTCAACCTCTCTGGCCACTCAGTAAAAGGTTTAAGGGTTGCAATGTTGCAACAGAAAAGCTTCAAAAACAGACTCCAATGAGAAACTGCTGAACTTGAATTAATATGCAAACTAGATACCATTAACTTGGGTGTGAATAGAGACTGGGAGTGGCTGGGTCATTACACATATTGAATCTATTTCCCTAAGTTAAGTATGCTCACACCTTCTTGTCAACTGTCTAAATGGGCCATCTTGATTATCACGACAAAAGTTTTTTTCTCCTGCTGATAATAGCTCATCTTAACTAATTAGCCCCTTACAGTTTGTATGGAAACTTCTAAACTTCCCTGTATGTATATATATCTTCTTACTATATGTTCCATTCTATGCAGCTGATGAAGTGGGTTGTAGCCCACGAAAGCTTATGCTCTAATAAATTTGTTAGTCTCTAAGGTGCCACAAGGACTCCTGTTCTTTTTAAGGCACATTTTCCACTAGTTTCTAACATAAACTTTTCCAAATACGGCTGGTCCATGCCCCATTTTGGGCTTTGAACACCACATTTTACAGACAGATGATTTTATTTCTTTGGCCAGCCTGACACAAACAGCCTCATGACACCCTCTAAGTCTAAGAGCCCCTTGCAGACTACATCCATGTTTTGCAGCCATACAACAATATGGGAAGGATACAACTCGAATAAATCCTGAACTTGATTGTCATACTAAGATGATGTTGATTCCATATCTGTTGTAAACGGCCCATTGCAGATGCTGCGATGCCAATCCGATGGAGACCCTCCGTGTGAGAATTGGAGGAGCTGGTAAGCATAGGCCCCAACTTCTCCTGGCACCGGTGGGTGCTTGTGAACCGCCCCCCCTCACCCCAACTCCACCACCAAAGGAACATTTGAAATACATTTTAGAACTAGTTTTTCACTGTTTACTTTTCCCTGTTCATAAAACCATGTGAGAAGCTGGAAATCGTAAGGCCAGGCTAAAATCGGGAGGCGCCAAGTTAGGCTGAACATTCACAGCTCTCACTGGCGCCAACAGACATGGAGAGTGCTCACATGGCACAAGAATGCCAAGACAACTCAGTATTCGGAGTTAAGAGTTTTTGAGGGTCCAGTGTCAGGGGACTAGAGGGGAAAAGTCTTCTGCACTTGTAGGTTTGTTTCATTATATACAGCACCAGGGTGGGGAGTGAGGAGATGGGGGTGTGAATTATTTTATTATTTAGTTTCTTAATGCCTGGGCATTGCTATTCATTATTCTGGGTGTTTAATCTAAGCTCTGTGTCACATATACAGAGTTATGTTAAAAGATACATTTGGATGGATAATGTAATGCTCTAGAGGAGTGTAACTTGGAGACGTGCACTCTCATTGGTCTAATTGCTGTAGGATGGATGGGTATTACCTTTTATAAAAATCTGATTTAAAAAAAAAAGAAAGATGCAACTCCATGACTCAGAGGCAAATGTAGAACTAAACCATCCAACTAAAACTTCGATGCTTGACAGTTTGCATTGTGGCCTGAAAGGAGGATCAAAGGCTTTCAAAACTTATTACTGATCTCGGCACAAAAAGTGGGAGTGTGCTAATAAAGTTTGCAGATGATACAAAGCTGGGAGGTTTTGCCAATTTAGAGAGAGACTGGGATATCCTACAGGAGGATCTGGATGACCTTGTAAACTGGAGTAACAGTAATACGATGAAATTTAATAGTGAGAAGTGTAAGGTCATGCATTTAGGGATTAATAACAAGAATTTTAGTTATAAACTGGGGACGCATCAATTAGAAGTAACTGAGGAGGAGAAGGACCTTGGAGTATTGGTTGATCATAGGATGACTATGAGCCACCAATGTGATATGGCTGTGAAAAAAGCTAATGCAGTCTTGGGATGCATCAGGCGAGGTATTTCCAGCAGAGATAAGGAGGTGTTAGTACTGTTATACAAGGCACTGGTGAGACCTCACCTGGAATACTGTGTGCAGTTCTGGTCTCCCATGTGTAAGAAGGATGAATTCAAACTGGAACAGGTACAGAGAAGGGCTACTAAGATGATCCAAGGAATGGAAAACCTGTCTTATGAAAGGAGACTCAAGGAGCTTCGCGTGTTTAGCCTAACTAAAAGAAGGTTGAGGGGAGATATGATTGCTCTCTATAAATATACCAGAGGGATAAATACCAGAGAGGGAGAGAAATTATTTAAGTTCAGTACCAATGTGGACACAAGAGCAAATGGATATAAACTGGTCATTGGGAAGTTTAGACTTGAAATTAGACAAAGGTTTCTAACCATCAGAGGAGTGAAGTTCTGGAACAGCCTTCCAAGGGAAGCAGTGGCGGCAAAAGAACTATCTGGCTTTAAGATTAGACTCGATAAGTTTACGGAGGAGATGGTATGATGGGATAACATGATTTTGGCAATTAATTGATCCTTAAATATTCATGGTAAATAGGCCCAATGGCCTGTGATGGGATGTTAGATGGGGTGGGATCTGAGTTACTATAGAAAATTCTTTCCTGGGTATCTGGCTGGTGAATCTTGCCCATACGCTCAGGATTTAGCTGATCGCCATATTTGGGGTCAGGAAGGAATTTTCCTCCAGGGCAGATTGGAAGAGGCCCTGGAGGTTTTTTGCCTTCCTCTGGAGCATGGGGCACGGGTCACTTGCTGGAGGATTCTCTTTCTTGAAGTCTTTAAACCATGATTTGAGGACTTCAATAGCTCAGACATAGGTGAGAGGTTTTTCGCAGGAGTGGGTGGGTGAGATTCTGTGGCCTGCGTTGTGCAGGAGGTCGGACTAGATGATCATAATGGTCCCTTCTGACCTTAATATCTATGAATCTATGAAAACCAACTGTGGACAAGAGGTCAGCTCATAGAATATGTGAATTACCAGTTTATTCACATGGCTGTTTTTCACATGGACATAACACGCAATTCTCAAGCGCGAAGTCTCCACCTTCCCATTGCACTGTCGGTTATTGAATCACTTGGGGATAGTCATGAACAGACCCACAGCAGCACTGACTCTGCCTGTCTATCGTTTTGTACTACACCCATAAGCTTGGTATCTGAGCGCTTTTAAAAACAATAGCTCTGACACTTTAAATGTAGCTGTCGGTTCTCCTTTCACAATCAGCCCAGTGACACGGTCTCTGTGGGGTTCTAGGAATGCAGAAACACAGGAACAGCCAGCCCAGCTCAGAGCAAGCATCCAGCCAGCCCAGTCTCAAAATGGTGGCTGGTGAAGGCACCAGCGACCCTGCAGTGGCTGTTATGAGATAAACTGCCCGCTGGAAAGCTCCTCCTAACTCCTAGGAGTTGTAGGTTGGCTTATGGCAGATAGTATTAGAACAACTGTCTAAGATACAGCAATGGAGACATTCCCATAAGATTTCTTTACTAACAGTAACAATTACAGTGCAACCAGGGACACTGCAAACTGCAAAAAAGTGCAGGGAGCTAGGCCAAGGCCACCCCTCTTGCAATCAATCACTTTATTTACACCAGGGTCCCTCTGCGCCCCTCTAGCATGCAGAGGGGCCTTACTGTGAATGGGAATCAGGAGCTTACTGTTCATGCAGAGCAGATAAGATTTTGGGCCAATTTTTTCAAATTTGCATGCCTAAGGTCAGGCACTAATGGGAGCTGCATGGGCTAAGCCCATCTGAAAATGAGACTACTTATCCACCAGCTCAGTATCTAACTTTAGGCTTGAAAGTTAGGAAATTTTGGCCCTGGCTTAAGGTTTCTGCTAATTGAATTGATGTCATTAATCTTCCTTCCCAGCACAGTTTCAAGGTGCCCAGAGCCAAACCTGGCTGCAAAGGGGCTCCATTCAAAAGCTCCTTTGGAAGTTGGGCTCTTGAGCTGTAGCATGCAAGCCCTGGATGATCTCTTTCACTTCCGCTCCCCATGTAGCATTCACACCCATATGCTGTGCACTAGAGCAACTGTCAAATGACTTTACCTGTGATTCCCTGAGCAACCTGTATTCAGGAAACTCAACTGATGTCTGCAACTAGCATGTATGTATGTTTATATCAGCCAAAACAAATATTGCCTGTATGACTTACAGCGCACAATGGAAAGCTTCTTACACACAGAAATACTGCAGGAAAGACCTGATGTAAAGTCAATGTGATCTTTCTTTCCTGAATTACCTCTGTTGGGCACGCACTTTCCGTGGCAGAAAGAAGCCAGGCTTTGCAACTATATTAAAACATGTCCCAAGCCAGAAAGAAAGAAAAAGCTATTTGAGCCATTGCTTTACTGACCCCATAATCCTCTAAGCACTGGCTGTCTCCTGGCTAGCCTTACACAACTTCCCTCTGCCTAGCCCAAGTGTTCTCTACTTGTTAAAAATAACGCTAGACTTCTATTGCTCCCAGCTGCTTGATACTGAGCAACAATAGATGAGAACTGAAAATACCTACTACCCTCTTAGAGGAGCAGAGGTGTATCTGGAGAGTTTGGCCCGCTAGGGTTCTCCCTTTCAGTTGGCCCTGCCCACAATACTTCAGCTGTTTTACTATCCAGCCATCACCCAAGTCACTGAGTTGCAGAAGGATGGGTGAGCCTTTGGGATCTTCACAAATAATTTCCCCTTATTGAACAATTCCTCATCTCTCCCACTTCTTCCAGTGTTTGTTCCAACAAACAAAACTTGAACCACACCTTCAGTGTTAGCCTCCTTTCAGAATTGCGCTTGTATGACTTTAGGCAGTAAATTGCTTAAAAAATTCCAGCCCGCCAGCAAGGCACGACCCCTCATTCCTGGAACCACATGGCCTAGCTTTGATCAAGCTGTGTGTTCTCACATATCCCATATCTGATCCCTTAAAAACAGCTCCTAGGTGTCTTTTCCTTCCTTCTACCCAATGGTCAATGAGTCTGTCATAGCCACATGCATCTCTGACATCTAGAGCAATACACTGCTGGCCAATTTCAGGCTGCAGGAAGATTTTCTCATTAGAAGTTTGAAAAAGTAGATGATGAAACTTCAAAGGGAGGTTCATACTTCAACATTAGAAATCCATTATTTTTCTTCTTGAGATGAAGAGAGTAAGGGATGCTAGCTTTGCTGTCAATATTGCCTCCTTTTTTGTCTTGAACACTGAGCTAAGACAACCGAGGTGAAATGAACAGCACAGGTACAGTGTGTCATGAATCCAGTGTGACAATAAAGAACAAAACTCACATGCACTTTACAGCATCTCATTCATGTGCAATGAGAAAGTTATTTCTGGAGTCTGTAAGTAGCCTCTACGAAGCTAACATTTTAGTAGAAAACATTACAACCTGCTCTGCAAAGCATGTCGTTAGACTCACCACGAAGAATGGGAAATTTAACATAAAAGGGTACTTCCTGTCTCCATGTAATTAGGTAAGGGCTTTGTGTTTCCTGGAAAGTGAATTTCTTGTACTGAGTACTGAACAGCCTCCGGTCCTCTTTTAATCATGTGGACTCCATATACACCATTTATCTCCATTGCTAGGTGGTTTGTGTCTGCACCTGCCAATCTTGACTCACTGACTGTCCCTTTCCTTTCAAGTTTCATCTGACATTTCCACTACTGCTTCTACGCTTATTTTCCCTCTCCCTGATCTATTAGATCTACTTGGAAATCAGCTCGATTTCTAAGGGTTAAGTCACTCAGGAAGAGAAACCTCATTAAAGACTCAAGCCACTCTCTTTCCATTCAGAATGAGTGACAGCTGTCATTCAGAGGAGATATGGGCCATGTCTCTCTCTTTATAGTCACTGTCTTTATTGGGTTGGGGAGGTGCATTCTGAAGAAGGAGAATAAATCATAGGCTGAACTTTTGCATAGTCATTACTCAACCCTCCAACTCCATTGTTACAGATAACGTACCGACAAGCTCTAAGGCAGGGCAATCAGAGGGGAGTGTCTGGCTGGCACAAGCCATTAGAACCAACAAGAACTCACGTACAACAATCTGTCACTGCTAATACAGGTTCGGCTCTGAGGCTAGTTTTAAATAAACTAGTTAAAAATACAGAAAAACAAAGATGATCTTCTATATGGTGGCAGTAAAGTGTCAAATAAAGGAAAATTATTATTAATTATTATTAACAACTTCCCTTCCTCCACTGAGACACCTGCAGGAAACTACTTGTAAGAGTGGACTTAATTGCTCTCTGTAACAGTGCAACAGCTGCAGCCCAGCAGACTGGGTGAGGTCAGGCTAGTTAGCTGAGCTCTCTGGGAGGAATGTGCACAACGTATTAAAGGCCCAATTGGGCATAAAAGCCAACTGCAGTTCTTGAAGGGCTGCATGTCATTTCATCCGCTACAAAGATTAATTCATAACCAGCACACAGCCAATGGTTTTCCCCTGGAAATAATTTTGGTACCAATCCCACAGCTAAACACCACAACTAATGCACACTTTTAATTATTTTACCCTGTTAATAAAAGAGGAAGCCTGGACAAATATTTCAAATATAATTTTGCTTTGCTTTTCTGACAGAGGAAACTTTTATTGCCTTGCTGCTTCAAGGCTTTTTGCAGAAGCTGTAGGAAAATTGTTAGGTTTGAACTGGGCACAGCAGACCACCAGTGACAAAACCCAGGAGTCTACAAATATAGGATCCACCTCATTGCTAGTGGAAATTGGCCACTGACTTCAACAGAGCTGTGCGAATCTGCACCAGTAGAGAATTTAGCCCGTAAAGTCCTTGGGTGCAACTGCATCTGTTCTACAGGGTTAATCTCTTTTCTTTTTGGTGGAAAATATTTAGATACAAAAATCCTCTGCCAATCAAGCAAAGCACTGCCCATTTTCTCTCAGCTCCATGACACGGAAGTTTAAAAGGTAAAAGCTTTCCAAGCATGACTAAGCTATGCAACATGTCTGAAAGCTGTTTCTTAGTTGTATCTGGATTTCTGAGCCACTGCTCGTGACAGTCATCTAGCTAAACAGAAGTAACTACGATTGTAACATTGGCAATCCCCCAAACAACATTGGACCCGATCCTGAGACATGCGGATGTTAGTGGGAGTTGAGGGAGCTCAGCACCTGAAAGGATCAGGCTCTTTAATTTTTAAAAATTTAAATATTTTGTGTTAAAGGTTATAGGTGTTGGTCTACCACCGCCCCCAGTGGAGCCAAGGGTAAAACCCCCATTGCTACTGTGGGAGCAGACTCAGGCGAACACTGCGTGCTTTTGCAAATCTCATCCTAAAGTTTTGTTAATGACATGGAAGAAGTTCGGAGAATTGTTTAGTCTACCACACAGCCAGTGTCACAAATATTCTCTCTATAGCAAAATGTCTGCCTCCAGTAGGGGGCACCAAAATGACAATCACACAACGTATATTATCACAGGGTTCACATACATTTCAAGAGGCAAATACTCTGGTGCCATAAACCCACTGAAATCAATGGAGTTACTCCAGCAGAGAATTTGGCTCTAAGCATATTGATGGTGAGAAATGCTTCTTGTTTCTGTGCTGCGCGGAGACAAAAAGAGGTCTTGGTTCGCCTTTCAGACCACATTTGAAATGATGGTGTTTACACGCTATTTGAACAATTGAGGGTTAAGCTACAATCTGCACATTAAAAACTAGGGGAAAGTGCTGATTGCCTCAGACTCCAACACAAAGCTGTCGAAAGGGCTCTTAGTGAGTGGAAAGGGTTAGTTTCATGGGAACATGACTCACTGCATCTTCATGAAAGGCAATGAATTTGCAGTCAAGACTATGAAGTACTGTGTAGTACATGTAACAAAACACAATGCTCTTGGAGCTTTTAGCTGCAGCTTAACTCTCTAGCTCAGGAAAGTGGGAGGTGTTCCTTGGGCAATCTGGAAAAGCCCACAAGACTTGGAAATTCAGTAACAAACTGCTTCTCATAAAGGAATTCACATAAACTAGATCTTCCCTAGAGACACCTTGAAGAGAACAGGATTTTCAAAATCTGTGGGTCAGAAGTCTCTCAGGCAAAAGTCTCAAGCAAAGCTCTTGCTGATATCAATAAGTAAGGACAGATTAAGCAAAAGGACTTTGGGCTTTGGCCCTGGAATACCACAGCATTGGAACGACCATTCCTGTAGGTAGTAATACTGAAGAACTAAGACAATACGTGTCTCATGTAGAAATACTTGTACAAGCATCTCGGTTAACAAGCAGCATGTCTTTTGGAGGCTACTAGATTAAATCAACAGTGCTGTTAAAAACAGCACCTCTTTAATAGTGGGTATGTAACTCCAAGTCTGTCGGTGCCAAGCCAGGCACTGCTTGGCTCTGCCTTAACAGCTTTTTGCCCTATTCTGCGGACCCTACTCTTTATCCAAACAATTATGCTTTCAAACAAGTTTAGTTTTTTTTAAAAGGTTCTTCTGCTTGACAAACAGGTCACCCCAGGTCTCTGTTCTCGGCTGGTCACTATGGAGCCATGCGGATGAACCCTGAGCTAGGCTCCTACAGCGAGGAGTCCATGGTAGAATGGCCATTCTGAGAGAGAATCCTGCGTTTCGGGACGTTGGACTTGACCGACGCGGGAGAGTATTTGGGATTCCTGTAGCAGATAAAGCAGAGGATCCTCCGGAAGGTGCTGCGCATCTCATTGTCCCGATAGGAGTAGACAATGGCGTTGATGAGCGAATTGATCTCTGCCAGCAAGAGGACATACTTCTCCATTGCCAGCACATTACAGCTCTCGCAGGCCAGGCCATCCAGCAGGAGCAGCACCTGGCCTGGAGTCCAGCAGATAACGAAGGCACCTGGGAAGAGAAGAAAAGCTGTAAGAAGAAAGTGAGGCACCAGGACTCCTGCCTCTGACTTGCTGGGGGGTCAGGGCCTTGGGTGAGTCTCCTGCCTCCACAGCTGGTCAGGAAATGTTCCCCCCCACTCCAACAAAACAAAGAGAATGAGATTAAAAAGATATATTCAAATTTTTGGTTTTCATAGAAAACCTGAAAGAGGTGGTTAACTATAGCAGGTTATTTCCGACAGAAATGCTGTTTCTGCAAAAAAGACTTTCTGTCAAAAAGTCATTTTAGGTGGAAAATTTTCAGCTAGCTTTTATCTCAGTTTTGCTATCTATATGACGAACTGACTTACCCACCATGGGAAGGAGAGCAGGTTACTAAACGCAGTTAATTAATGCTAAATTGACAAATGCAAAGAAATGCGCATAGGAGGAAACAACAGAACTATTTATATACCTTACAGGTTTCTACAGTAACTCTGTCAACTCTGAGGAAAGACCTGGGCGTCATTGTGTGCAGCTCAATGAAGATCTCTGCTCAAATATGCAGCTTCAGTGAAAAAAGCAAACAAAATAGGATGATTAAGTAATAATCTGGAAAATATCCCAACACAATTATATAAATCAATGGTTCATTATCTGAAATCCTGGGTGCAGTACTGGTCACCCCATATCAAAAAACAACATTGCAGAATTAGAAGGGGTTCAGAGAAGGGTGAGGAGCATGATCAAAGGCCTGGAAAATTCTGTTCTGAAGAGAGATTGAAAAGCTTGGCATTGTTTCCCTAAGAGAAGAGAGGATGTGATATGCCCACACCTTGAATACTGTGTGCAGTTCTGGTCGCATCCTTTCAAAAAGATATATGTGATTTGGAAAAGAGGCAGAGAAGGAAAACTACGATTAGAGGTATGGAACAGCTTCCATACGAGGAGAGATTAAAAACACTGGAACTGTTTAGCTTAGAAAAGAGACAATTAAGGGGAGATAATGACAGAGGTCCATAAAATCATGAATGATTTGGAGAAAGCGAATAAGGAAGTGTTATTTAGCCCTTCACCTAACACAAGAACTAGAAGTCACCCAATGAAATAAATAAGCAGCAGATTTTAAAATAAACTAAAGGAAGTACTTCACACAACACAGTCAACCTGTGAAACTTCTTGCCAGTGAGAAAGTCTGAAGGCCAAAAGTATAACTGGGTTCAAAAAAAAGATTAGATAAGTTCATGGAGGACAGGTCCATCATTGGCTATTACCCAAGACAACCCCATACTCCGTGTGTCCCTAAACCTCCAACTGCCAGAAACTGGGACTGGACAACAGGGGAAGGATCACTCAGAGTGCCCCGGTTTGTTCATTCCCTCTGAAGCACCTGGCACCAGCCTCTGTCAGAAGACAGGATACTGGGCTAGATGGACCATTGGTCTGACCCAGTATGGCCATTCTTTTGTTCTTAAGGGTCATTTCCCTTTATTCCTGTAATTTGATCAGACTGGGAACAAAGACATTTGTTTGGGGACTCAAATTATAGACACATTCTGTACACATAGGGACAGTAACTCAGAAATATCTATTCATCCTGTCTCGTAACACAAGAACTGGGGGATATTCAGGAAAACTGAATGGTGGCAAATTCAAAACTGAGAAAAGTATATACTTTTTCACACACAATCTAATGGAACTCATTCCTACAAAATTTCATTGAAGATAAGAGCTCAGCAGGATTCAAAAAAAAGGGTTGGCCATGAAAGGCATAACAAGGATATCCATAATTATAATAGTGAGGATTAAATAAATAACCAAGCATTTTGGAAGCGATCTAAACTCTCCTGTTTTAGGACATGAGCCCAATCCTCTGGCTGTAATGAGTCAATAACTTCCCCTGGGGGTAGGTTATCCCATCACTTCCTTCTGCAGAGCTTCTTGCATCTTGCCATAGTCAGAGATGGAAGACAGGGCTGGCTGGGCACCTAGGTCTGTCTGTTCCTGGCAATTCCCATATGCTTTCTGAAGGTCTTCTGAAGAGATCCATGTTGCTCGAAAGCTTGTCTCTTTCACCAACAGAAGTTGGTCCAATAAAAGATATTACCTCACCCACCTTGTCTCTCTAATATCCTGGGGCCAACATGACTACAACACCACTGCAAACTACTGTTTGGGAAATCCTTTAGCAGAAGGATTTCTAAGGACAAAGGATGGCCATTCTGTCGATGAATGAGGCGGAGGGGGGAGACGGAAGGAATTTCTAGGATGATTATTGTGCATTCTGAACCCCCTGGTATTTGCAGTTGTGCTTTTAGTTCTGAGGCTGCCGTAAACCATGCACTCCCCTGCTAGCATTCAAGGATGTGTCTTGTTACACCAGGGGTTTATCCTGGCCTGCCTCCTGGAGGAGGGTGGAGCAGGAGGAACAGTGCTCACTGGGAGTTTCTCAACTACACCCTTTACTGGAAATCATCTGCTAGGAAGAAAAACTGCCACAAGGGTGCTGCAAAATGAGAGACTGACTCCAAAACCTTTCATTAAAAGAAACAAAGAAAAAGGCAGCACTGGTGGGGGGTCAGGGCACCAGCAGCTGCTTTCTGGGCAAGGCTGGGTTTCTCTGCAACTCCAATAAACTTCCTTCCAGGGTCACTGCTTTGGTCCTAATTTCAGAGGGAGGAGGGGGGACAAAAAGAAATTCTGCACTCAGCTGAATATTAGCCTTTAGAAAAGAATGCGCACCAGTGCATCACTAAGGCAGGGCTGATGCCCCCAGCTTGTGAGAGAGCGGTCTCCACTGTGTCTCCAGCCCATGCACGCTGCGCCAAATTCTCCAGGGCTGAGTGCCCACAACTGGAGCCAAGTTCCCTGAAGAGCTCTGTTGCCTCTTCAGCACCTAAACAAAGGGGCTGGACTCTCAAAGGTGTGCTGCACCCAATGCACCAGCCTCTTGCGTCTGAACACCCGCACCCATGTTTTAGTGCCTAAATGGGAGCTAAATTCTTTGGAAAATCTAATTCCCCATAGTGGCCCGCCAACAACCTCTTTGAGGCTGTTGGGCCCTCTCCTGTGATCTCATTCTCATCCCCCAGTTACAAAAGCTCTGTCTAAGGGCTCATACCATAGGAAAGTTATTTCAGCAAAAGGTAGGGTGTGCATTTAACTCACTATCTCTGTTCTGGGATAAGAGCTTGCATGGGACACTCAATCTGGAATAAGAGTGTTCACACAGAGAGCTCTTCTGGGTAGCTATTGGTAATCCAAGCCCTTAAATGTCATCGAGAAGACAGAAATCCACGAGCTTTAGGAAAGTCCATATTTGCCATCCCACCCATTCACCTTGCTCCCTCTAATACAAAACGAAACACTTTTCCAACCCAAAAGCATCTTTCACATACCCCATATTGAGAGTTCCCTGAAGATTATCCATTTCAGAAGCTTTCTCTCTTCATCATCATCACCCACACACACACACCCCCTTTCCCCACACAGAACTCCTGAACACTGACATTAACCAGATGCTTTTGGCTTCCTTTATTGAGCAATAAGTTGTCTCAGTTTTGCTGTTTCCCCAGATTTTACAGAGCAAGCACAGGGGTGTTAATTACTGAGCCAAGTCTCCGTTGATGCAACTCAAGTACAGTCAATAGAGTTACAACAGCAGAGAATATGGCCCAGTTATGAACCACCTGGTGCCCTCTGCGGCTGCTGGGATCTGCTCACGTGCAGTTGCAGGTCTGTCTTTGGAAGAACAGAGAGGCACATGGGGCAGGATCAGGCAATGGAAGGCCGAGGAAGCCCTCCTCCCATCACTTTGCCCTGGCCCACAAACATGATGCGAGTGCCTCACACCATCCGCCCCTCCATCCTTGTGCTCAGGCCAGGGCCGAGACTTCCAGGGCACCCAAGGGACCATGCGTCATGCACACACGCGCCCACAAGCCTAAACAAGAATGGGCTGTCTCGCTGTCAGAGCCATGCAAACAGCTTTGACCCCGTCCTGACTCCACTGAAATCCCCCAAGGGCTCTGGCAGTACAGACTCTACAGAGGCTGTTATCTGCCACGGCCCCATTAGGACATGGCTTTCATCCACATTGTCTGGACCGAGGGATAATGTCTCCTGCTGCCCAGCCTCCCCTTGGGCTCTCAGTTTGAGCACACAGGGGAGTCTGGTCAGCAATGAATCTGCTCAGGGCCAGGGGCCTGAACTCAGGGGAAATGTTGGACTGGGCCTTTCCTTATCCTTATGCTGCATCTTTCCTGTCTCCTCCAGTCCCCCCTGCCCCCTTCTGAGTGGTTTCATCCTAAGACCTTTGTACCCCATTTTTAACATCTGTGTCCTACATGAGTCTGTCACACACTTGCTGCCCCTGCAGGTCTCTAACCTCCCTCCTTGTTAACACACCTACCAGCCACCACACCCGCCAATTCGTAAGGGGCAAAATATGTCTCTGTGCACAGTCCAAGTTTGCAGAAGGCTGTGGAGCCGGGCTAAGGGGATGGAAATTATCCCAGGGTTTTAACAGAGCAGAAAATTTCTGCATTAGCTGCTCTGGCGGTACCCTGCTGAGCCGTATCATGAATGGGTATTTCCCAGCTTTGAGTAGTAAAAAAAGGTCTTCCCTTCCCCAACTTTCTCAGATGTCTGGGTGAAGAGCTGGCTCTGCTATTTTCTCCCTGATGTCAGTCCCATGGTGATGGCAGAACCCAGGGTTTCACTGCAGAGATTCCAAGGGCTTTGGCCAATTCCTCTCCGTCTGCCTGCATACAGCCCCCATGTGATGGGCAGAAGGCCCCCACTCCTCACAAAGAGCCGATCGTCTCTTCTTGGCCGCCTGTCCCAGCTCCCTGCAAACCTGCACAGAGCCACTCCTCCAGGCTCACCTTGCTCTCCCCTGCTGGTTTCCAGTTCAAGGAGCAAGGAAAGGCTTGAAAGAGGAGGAAAGGGGATCCTAGCAGCAGAAAGAAGGGTCAGGTCTGGATTTTTCCCCACCACCAGCTTAGACACCCAGGTAAGCATCCCTGCCAG